GCTTTTGTCACCTCCACCATATTATGTTGCTCACCCCATCCAATCTTGATTCAGTTTGAGAGGGAACTACAGAAGGTGGAGGTTGAGACAATTGGGGACCATTTTGGAGGATGAATAATACAGTCCTTTTATTTAAAAATGAATGAATATATGTGCATGGTTCTACTCATGGATGTAATTTGGTTCTACTAATCTGTTTTTCATTATGCTAATATCATACTATATTTACCTTTATATAAATCTTGAAGGCAGTGTAATATTTTGTTCTTTTTCATAACATGTTGGTTATTCAGTTTCTTGCTTTTTGAGGTAACTTGCTTTTTTATACAAAAGTCAATCACTGTGTTAGTCCGCATTTCATTGTTGTGACCAGAATACCTGATATGAACCACTTAAAGAAAGAAAGATTTCTTTTGGCATATGGTTTCAGCCCATGGTCAGCTGGCTTCATCGTTTTGGGCCTGAAATGAGGTAGAGCATCATAGTAGAAGGGCATGGCAGAGGAAAGCTGCTCAGCTCATGACAACAAGGAAGGGAGGGGAGGGGGAGAGGCATACCAACGGTGGTGGTGGGGGGTTGGTGTAGGTGGGGAGCTGGGGACAAGATATAGTCCCCAAGGGCATGTTCCCAGGAACCCACTCCCTTCTACCACCTCCCACTAGTCCACTCAAATTATAAATCCCTCTTATGGATGAGGTCAGAGTCCTCACAATCCAGTTACCGCCCATGAACCTCATCTCTGAACACTGATGCTTTTGAGGTCAGCTTTCGAAATGGGCCTTTGGGGGACAATCCAGGTATAAACCATAATTGTTACCTTGTAAGTTTCTACACAAAAAATGAAATCTGCTGATTGGGATTGCATGGAATTTGTAGATCAACACAAAGAGAATTGACATCTTAACAATATAGGCATGTCTTAACATAATATAGCATATCTGTCTTTAGGTCTTTAATTTCTTTCAGCCTTGTTTTGTGTGTGTGCGCACGCGCCTTGCCCATAGTTTGTTAAATTCATTTGTAAGTAGTTTATTTCTTATTGGATGCTTTTGTAAATTATATTATTTTTTAATCTCATTTTTCAGTTCTTTGATATATAGATATTCAGTTGCTCTTTTATTTTTGTATCAACCTTTTATCCTGCAACTTTGCTAAATTCATTTATCAGTCTGACAACTTCTTTGTATATTCCTTAGAATTTTCAGCATACAGCATCATGTCATCTATGAATAAAGAACAGTTTTACTTCTTCCTTTTGCATAGGCTAGAACCTATTATGCCTGGTTTAGTGTGATATTGTGCCTCTTCCCCTCCCCCCGCTTCCTTGTTGTCATGAGCTGAGCAGCTTTCCTCTGCCATGCCCTTCTACTTTAGAATAGACATATAGAGTAAGAACAAAGAAAGCACTTGAAAAAAAATCCATTCATTCCTGAGGACCTATATTAAATACTAACACTCTTGAATGTAAGAATAGGGGCTGGGGTTGTGGTACAGCGCTCACCTAGCACGTGGCTGAGTTCGATCCTCAACACCACATAAAAACAAATAAACTAGAGGTATTGTGTCCAACTTCAACTAAAAGAAGAAGAAGAAGAAGGAGCATGAAGAAGACCTGAAACCTGTTTGAGAATAGTCAGACTAGAGTAACCTAAAATGCTAATAACTGCCTAAAATAGGTAAAGATTCTTAATCTAAAATCCCCAGCACTTGTATTAAAAACACACACACACACACACACACACACTTTTTTTCCCCCTTAACCTCTGAATGAAATTTGATATTTCCTTTTATATTGAATTCAGGCAACAAACTACAGGAATAATATTAGCAGCAATTTTGTCACTAGTAAATCTTACTCTTAACTTTCCCTATATTCTTATTCAGAAGTTTGTTTCTTGAAGGGACATGTAATTAGGTCTTGCTTTTTTATCTTGCCTTTGAATTGGGAGTGTTTGGATGGTTTGCATTGATGCAATTATGTATTTGGTTTTAGTCTTGTTTGCATTTTTTCTTACTTTGAATTGAAGTATTTTTAAGTTTCTTTTAATTTTTAAAATATTTTATTTCAGCTATTTCTTTAATGGTTACATCATCTTATCTGCAAACAGGTTTAATTTTACTTCCTCATTACTTATTTGTATACATTTTGTTTCTTTCTCTTGCATAATTTCTCTGGCTAAAATTTCTAGTACTCCATTGAATATGAATGGTAAGAGTAGACACCCTGGTCTTGTACCTGATCTTTGAGGAGTACTTTCAGTTTTTCCCCATTCAGAATGATGTTGGCTCCAGGTTTGTCATATATGGCCTTTATTATGATGAGGTATGACCTGTTTAAATTACTCAGGGCTTTTTAAATCATGAAGGAATGTTGAATTTTATCACTTTTTCTACATATATTGAGATGCTCATCGGATTTTTATCCTTGATTCTATTAAATGATGTATTATGTTTATTGATTTGCATATGTTGAACTAGCATCATTGGAATGAAACCAGCTTGATCTTTGTATATGATCTTTTTAATGTGCTGTTGAATTCAATTTACAAGTATTGTTGAATTTTTGCATCTGTATTCATTGGGGATATTATTGTATAGTTTTCTTGTTTCCTTGTCAGGTCTTGGTAGCAGAGTCATACTGGCTTTGTAGAGCAAGTTTGTAAAGTTTCCTTCCCTTTCTGTTTTATGGAAGAGATTGAGGAGCATTGGTATTCATTCTTCTTTAAATTTTGGTAAAATTCAGCTGTGATGACATTTGGTCCTGGGCTTTTCCTTGGAGAATTTTTATTACTGATTGAATCTTATTACTAGTTATTGGCTTATTTAGAGTTTTTTTTAATATCCTCTTGGTTTAATTTTGTCCAGAAATTTGACTCTTTTCTCTAGACTTTCCAATTTGTTTGCATAAAGTTTAAGTGATTATTGAATCATTGAGATTTATTCTCATTCACCATTTAAGTTTGCTGATGAATTTATTTCTCCTTTTTCTTTATTTTTAAGGAAGGAATCTAAAAAAAAAAAAATCTTTATTTTACTTTGATTCCTGAAGAATATAGTCATTGTATTTATTTAGCTTTCTATATTGACTGTTTTTTCCATATCTTAAAGATGGTCCATTTTTTTCTGTCTTAATGGCTTTCCAAGAAGTCTGTATTTTTGTTTATCGTCTTCTTTTTCCTTTTCACTTTTTTTTTTTAATGCTGCTAGAATGGCGCATGACCTCACATATGCTAAGCATGCACTGAGCCACACCTGCAGCTCATCAATCTCTATCTTTTTAAAATTGAAATATAATTGTATCTACTTGTGGGGTACACTGTGGTGTTTTGGTATATGAACACATCATGGAATGATTAAATCAAGCTAATTAATATATCCATCACCTCACATACTTAATCAGAAGGCTTCAATTTCTGAGGCACATTTTTAAGTTTGAAGAGAGATCTTCTTCGTTTGTTTCATACTTTGGCAGTGAATGAACAGAAGCCTTAGAGTTGGTACGCTGATTCAAGGTTCACTGTCCTTGAACTTTGACTAAATACTTCAGAATATCGGTTCCTCACATCGGGATTGTTCTCAGTTACCCTTTCCAATGCAGTAAGCTACTGAACACTCACCCCAGCATAGCACTAAACATCCTACTCTCTGGAGCAGGGGATTCTGCAGCTTCATCAAGAGGTCTGAGGCTGTACTGTCTGGGGTGAGTTTAATGCCTGATGTATAAAGCGTTATGATTTTTTCTTTTTTTAATATATGTCAAAGATTGACAATGATTATATACTTTTCCTTTTGGCTTTTTTTTTTTTTACCCTGGGCCTCTTAACCACTGAGCCATATCTGCAGCCCTTTTTAGTTTCTATTTTGAGATGGGGCCTCACTAAGTTACTTAGGGCCTAAGTTGCTGCAGCTGGCTTTGAACTTGTGATCCTCTTGACTCAGCCTCCTGAGCTGCTGGGATTACAGGCATGCACCACCATGCCCTGCTTCTTTTTGACTTTTATTCAGGGATACATATTAGTTTAACTTTGTTCCTAACTAAACTTTGTTCTTTTCTAAACTTTTTATCTTAAAAAACTTAAAAGATCTTTTTTTCTCTCTTTGCTATCTTTTTTTAGGAATTTGATTATTATGGCCAAGTGTTCTAGCTGTTTACTATGGAATGAAAAGTGTGATCCTTGTTACTCCACCAAGGCCACTGGAAATTATTTATTGTCTTTTTAATCTTTTAGTATAGCCATGAAGATAAAAAAAATAAAGTTTATGTTCCTTTTATTTTCTGCAGCCTTTTGAGCCTTAAGTATATTATTAACACCTGCTGATAAATGTAACAGTTTCATCTGATCTATCGTATTTCTATCCTAATAATTTTCAAGATGACATTTTACATGGTTTAGCTATAATATGATATAAAATTACTGTCTGATGTGCAGGCAAATAGCATATACTTTATATTAAAGCTCATGAGTGACTGTTTCAAGAAAGTACATAAATGGTTTAAGTTATGGCTTTAAAAAGAATTGGATTCATGATTATAGTTATAACACAACTATTGGGTGTTTTGTTTTGTTTTGTTGTGGTGGTGGGGATTGAACCCAGGTCCTTGCAAATGCTAGGCAAGCACTTGACTGAGCTACATCACCAGCCCTTTTACATTCTGAGACAGGATCTTGCTAAGTTGCCATGCTGGTCTTCAATTGGAATCTTCCTGCCCCAGCTTCCCAAGTACCTACAATTATAGGCGTATATCACCACACCTGGCCTCAACTACTGGTCTTAATCTTATTATTTTCTGGTCACTCTTAGAAGTAACATGAAGAGGTTTATAACTGATGATCTTCATGAATTAAAATGTCTGGCTATTGTTGTGAAAACCTAGCTAAAATCTACAAAAGTTCTTGAATGGTATTAAGGGGAAAAAATAGCAAAACAAAACAAAATCACTGTTCTTAGCATATTTGTTAATTTTTAAAATTATTTGTGTGTTGTTTTTTTTTTTCCAGATTGTCAGTATTTAAACAGACCACATCATGCGTGAGTACAAGCTAGTGGTCCTTGGTTCAGGAGGCGTGGGGAAGTCTGCTCTGGTAAGTTAGCCACCTAACTATACCAATTAGTATAATAAAAGCAGAAGTCTGGCATTTGCTTATTTTCATACTTAAAATCACAAAGGGGAAAAGGTGGCATATTTTACATACCTAGTATCTATCCAACAAGAGACAGGGAATTAACCAAAGATGTGTGGTTTTATATTGATTGGTCATATTTTTATTATTTTTTATTTACCAAACATTTATCAGATACTTTATATATTAAGCTCCAATTTCATGATTCAGAAATGAATAAGATTGTTTTTATTTTTAAGAATTTACATCCCATTGGAGGAAATTGTTTATTAAAGATTGTAATGGAGTAAGTCCTCCTCTGGCCCCACCCCAAACTTATGTAGAATGAAATTTATATTTTGCATACATGCTTATTCACTCAGTAAATAATTATTGAGCTTCCCACAGTGTCAGACTCGGGGGTCCTAACAGTAAACCAAAACAGCCACAGTCTCTCTTAGAACATTCATTAAAGATAATAAATACACAGTTAAACAAAGAGTTGCTTGATTATAGTTGTGGGAGAGGTGTTCTGAAAGAAGAATGTTAAAGGCGAGCATGTCATAAGTGTATCTAAACATTTGAACAACTGAGAGAAGGGTCAGTATAGTTGGAGCAGGAGTGAATAGGGAGGAGTAGAAGGAAATGAGGTAATAGGTAGGCAAAGTCCAGATCATGATTTGAAAACTGTGTAAGAACTTGGAGTTTACTTCTGATAACAGTGAGAAAACATTGAAGACAGAGTTGTTTTTTTTTTGTGGAAAAAGGGCAGTTATTTGAATGGATATGTTTGAATGAGTGCATTTTGACTGGTCACCATAACTTTGAGGAGGTTCAGAATGCATTTGGGATAAAATTGGAAACTAATTAAGTATATTAGGTTATTGCTTGCAAAGCTTAGGATTGGAGCTATGGTGTGAAGAAAAGACACATAGATGATTTGAGTATTAAATAGGAAGTAGAACTGACATAATTTTGTGCTGGATTGATATGAGAACTAGAAGAAAAGAAATAGTCATGATACATTTTAAGTTTGTGAGACGTTCAAGTAAATACATCAAATAAACAAATGGATCTTAAAAATAAGAGCTTAAAAAAGAAGCCTATGCCGTATGCAGTGGCTCGTGTCTGTAATCGAAGCAGCTCAGGAAGCTGAGGCAAGAGAATCATGAGTTCAAAGCCAGCCTCAGCAACTTAGCGAGGCCCTTAGCAACAAGCAAGAACCTGTCTCTAAATAAAGTATAAAAAGGGCTGGGAATATGGCTCAGAGGTTAAGCCCTCTTGTGTTCAATCCTTGGTACCAAAAAGAAAAAAAGAAAAAAAAAACTTTGGGGTGCCATCAGTATATCAGCGTCATTTGATTTCTTGAGAATTACATTATTATTTGGAGTGTAAATTAGTACCACTGTGGGCATGTTTGAGAATATCTATGTTTTCAAATGCACATGTAACTTTCAATTCAGAAATTCCTTTTATAGAAATTTATCTCACATAAGATTCACATAGACAAAATGATGTGTTCAAAGGTATCCATTGCAACACTCTTGATAATGACAAACGTTTAGAAACTAAATGCCTACCTGTAAGGGATCCTTAAGTAAATTTTAATACATAGTCAGCATAGAATACCACCCACCAATTAAAGGAATGCAACAGCTCTTCATATACTGATATGTAGTGATATCTGAAATGTATTATTTAGATAAGGAAAAATAAGAAGGTACCAAACAGCTTAGACTACCATTTATGTTTTATTTTAACAACAACAACAAAAAGGTAAAGGTTGAGGAGAGATACCTATAAAATATGTACGCTATCTCTGCAAGATTACATAAACTATGGATAATATCAGTTACTTCTTAGGAATTGAATTGGGTAGTTGGGAACAGGGTGGTAGGTAGACTAAGATCTTTTTTTAAAATCCATAGGAGTGAATGAGGTTCTCTAGGGAGAGACCAGGGAGAGAAGAGCCCAGGACTAAGCTCTGTGTACTTCTCAAACTTTAGAGAATAGTAAGATTGTGGGAGCTAGTGTAGACAGTATCTTCTTCTGTACCTCAGTGTAAAAGAGTGTATCCTTACCTACTCAGAAGTCAGGATTGAAAAAAGGAAATAAATGATCTGGGAACACGGAGATAGTTAGACATGATAATAGGTAGTGGTGTCATAACCATATTGGGGTGGGTTAAAGAGTAAATGAGGGACTGGAATTGTAGCTCAGTGCTAGAATGCTTACCTAGCACATGTGAGGCACTGGGTTTGACCCTCAGCACCACATATAAATAAATAAATGAATGAAGAAATAAATAAATAAATGGAATTGAGGTATTGTGTCCATCTACAACTTCAAAAAAAATTTTTTTTAAGCAAATGAGAGGGGTCTAGGGGTATATCTTAGAGGTGGAACACTTGTCTAGCATGTAGAAGGCCCTGGGTTGAAGCCCTGGCAACTCCTCTATTTACCCCACCCCGCAAAACTGAGAACTAGGAAATGAAACTACTATGCAGACAGCTAAAGAAATTTGACTATTACAGAGAAGAAAATATTCAGAAGCTGGCAGGATCATGAAGTTAAGGAAGGCTTATGTTTAATTTGGAGACTTGAGGTAGTAGAACATGTTTGCGTATTTTTATGTTGGAAACAGTAATCCAGTGGAGAGGAAAATGATTACATAAGATCCAGTATGAAAGCCTGTTCATTTTTAGAAGAGTAATGAAACTTTACTTTCAGAAGTAAGAAATGTGGGGTTGTTTTTCATTTTTGAAAGTCTCATTAATGTCTGACTTATAGAGGGAGTTAGGTTTTCATGCCTTCTTTTTCCAGTTTCTTGAGTACCTCTTAATATCATTAGGAAAATAGTATGATCCTCAGGGACCCTTTCCCCTAGATCAATATTATTTAAATCATATCATACCAAAAAGATGAGGTGATCAAATTTTTGATAAAAATGATGATTAAAGTTGGTCACGGTGGCACATTCCTGTAATACCAGCGGCTTTGGAGGCTGAGGTAGGAGGATCACAAATTCGAAGCTAGCCTCAGCAACTTAGCAAGGCCCTAAGCAAATTAGCAAAATCCTGTTTCAAAATAAAAAGTTAAAATGGCCACTAGTTTCAATCCCCAGTAGCAAAAAAAATTAAAAATGATGATTAATAGGGCTGGGGATGTGGCTCAAGCGGTAGCGCGCTCTCCTGGCATGCGTGCGCCCGGGTTCAATCCTCAGCACCACATGCAAACAAAGATGTTGTGTCCGCCAAAAACTAAAAAAATAAATATTAAAATTCTGTTTCTCTCTCTCTTAAAAAAATGATGATTAATAATCATTTTTGGTGTGATTATATCTTGAATTCCCTTTGAATAATAGCAATTTAGGAAGAAAAAAGTTCAAAGTTTACTATATTTCTCAAGCTCAAATAATGTAGAAAATATTTCTTTTGAGTAATTATAAATGACCTCAGTCTACATGTTTACCTTTGCTTTTAGGCAGTAATATACCAGACCTGTTTTAAAGCTGCCTAGAAGATATCTCACAACCATCTTCTCTACTTCTTTTCATTTACTGAATGATAAAATGTGTTGTTGCTAGAACGTGCTTATAGAAATTTTAGAGATAAAGTACCATAGTCACCCCTTATCTGCAGGGGATAGGTTCCAAATCTCCCAGGGGATGTCAGATAGTACTGAATCCAATATTTATACTATGTTTTTCCCTGTACCTGCATGGCTATGATAATGTTTGTTATAAATTAGGCACAGTAAGAGATTAAGAACAATAACTTAAAAACACAAGTATGATACAATTGTGTGGGGTTTTTTTTTTCTTTTATTAAGTAGAGAAACTTCACTTTTTTACTTTAGAGAAACACTTTGCAGCTTTTCTTTGGTACATCCTAATTGCAGATATCACTACTTTTATGCTTTGGGGCTTTTATTAAATAAAACGGGTCATTTGAACACAAGTGCTATGATACTTCAGCAGTTGATCTGATAACTGACATGGCTACAAAGTAACTATGAATGGGAAGATAGGATATACAGTGTAGATACAGTGGGCATAGGGATGATTCATGTCTTGTGTGGAACACAGCAATATGACATGAGACTTCAGCACACTATTCAGAATGGCATGATGTTTAAAACTTATGAATTATTTATTTCTGTGATTTTTCCATTTAATGTTTTTGGGTCATGATTGACTATAGGTAACTGCTGTTGTAGTAATAAAAAAAACCAGAGATAAGGGAGGACTACTGTAGATAATGTCTGAATAAGATGAGTAGGCAGTGTTTTCCAATAGGAAGATTAGTACTTTGGAATCAGGAAGATGGTACGTTTGAGTCTCTACTAGTAAATGGGAAAAATAACTATTTGGGAGTGAATGTAAACTTGGATATTATAAATTTAAAGTGACTAGCCTAGAACATAAAAGATATTCAATAAATTTATATTCCTTTTTCTTTTTCCCCATATTGGTATGACTTAAAAATTTAGAACCATTCTCTGTCTCTTGAGAACAAGGGATGGAAGTTATATAATTATATAAAGAGGTAATAGGTTAAATATTGAATTTTAATTTTTTAATTAATTAGAATCTTATTTATATCATCTGTTTTGAAACTAAATATAGTTAATTGTTTAGCAGTGTAATAGTTGCAGCAATATTGTTAAATTTTTAACTTGACCATCTTTTTTTAATAAGTGTGCTCTTAGTTATGTATCCATCCTTATAGTGGAAAATAATAATTATACTTTGTGTTTGTGTATTTACCCAGAATTTTAACATAATTTCATTTAATATTTAGAACTTTCTGAGGCTAATTAATATTCAAGGAGGTTTAATATTTCTTCCAAGCCCTTAATTTTTCTGTTTCCATCCCCTCAGACAGTTCAGTTTGTTCAGGGAATTTTTGTTGAAAAATATGACCCGACGATAGAGGATTCCTACAGAAAGGTAAAATGTGAAACTCTGTTTGCATGCTTATGAGTATTTTATTATGACTTTAAAACTTGATCCATGAAATTGCTTTTTTTAAAGATTGAAGAATAGAAATGTGCTGTTTTTAAATTTCACCTAGTAAATATTTCTTATAGAGTGTTGCTTACATATAGAGCATGTCATGTTCTGTTATTGATTAGTAATTTGTTCTTTACTGTATACATTTTCCTAGTGGGAAATTTTTTTTTTAAGTTGGCAAAAACCGCATAAAATAGTAGGTATATTTTCAGCTTTTATGCTTAAAGTCATCCAGTGAGTGAAAGTTTTGATGTTTTGTTTAGTTATATTTTTAAAAAATTTTATTATTAGACGTTCAAAAATTACAATCTGTTTGATACTAGAATGGGATACATGTCATAATTTGTCAAAACCATAGGTTGTATAATATCAAAAGCAGTCTGTATATAAACTGTGGGCTCCTAATGATGATGATGTATCCATGTAAGTTCATCAGTTGTGACGGATGTGCCTATCTGGCCCAGGATGTTGACAGTAGAAAGAGGCTATGCTTGATGTAGGCAGCAAGAATATAGGAAATCTCTGTATCTTCACCTCAGTTTTGCAGTGAATCTAAAACTGCTCTTAAATAAAGTCTGTCTTTAAAAGGAAAAAAAAAAATCCGATTGTTGATCATGACAAGAGCAATAATAATAATCTATTATAAGACTACCTAGAATTGTGGGAATTTTTATAATTTTATTTTCCAGGTATATTGAGGGGAAACAGCAAAGATATATATATACCTGTCCCCAAAAAAGATTAAACCTGTCTTTTAACAAATAGAAAAGGATTGCTTTGTTAAGTGTTTTTAGAATTTATCTTTAATAGTACTGTAACTTTTGTTGAATTAAGTTCATCTGGCAGAGCATTTTCAGTGTCTTCAAATTGAGAAGAAAACTGCTCTAGATACACAGTAAAACTACAGACCTGATTCATTATTCACTAAACATGCCTGGGTGCAGATTGTGCAAGTTACTTACTTGCCCCATGCCTGGTGGGATGATGAGTTTCTGGTACCACCAAAGGTGTACCTCATTAATCCCTGTCTGACATAGAATACTCTGTAGACTAATAAATCTATTTTTAGAAGACAGCGTTGCTTTACTGAAATTTCCCAAAATAAGTTGCTAGTTAAATCTTTATCCACAAAGCAAGGTCTGTACTTAGAATGCTGAACGACTTTCTTAGTTCCTTGTTTATTAAAACTTTTCCACACAGTTGATTGTTGATACTTTCTTTAGGCCAACCTCCTCCTCTTTTATAAGACAGCAGGAAAATGGAATTCAGAATATGAAATTTCACCTTAACAGTGTTTTTCTAATGAAGAGACCTTCTTCAAGTCTTGAGGAATGCTTAAACTCAGTGCTATTTAACACTTCTGAGTTTGCCTTTTATCTTAGATTTTGTGAATACCTTAGTTAAAATTTTAGGAACTTGAATATAGTGAGTTTGCAAATTTCCTTTTTTTTTTAATTTGTTCTTTTTAGATTTGTTGTTTTTAGATATACTTGATGCAAATTTTCTTTACTTCAAAATCTCATTCATTTTGAGCCATTTAATGATACTTTATTTTCTCTGAATGTGAATATTCATACTACATGCATTTTTTTTCTGTTAGAACTGTATTTGTTCGAAGTTTTTTTTAATTCCAAAATATACCGTTTTCCTAAGAACGAATAAACATCATTATCATGGTCAGAAAATATCCACACTTAATATTAACCATTTTGCCAGAATGTGCTTTAAGACCCCTGTTCTTTATATGGTACCAAATGTAGTCCCAGCCAGTATAGCACACTGCTGGAAAAATGCTTTGTAGTTGTTAGTTGGTACTTTGGGTGAAGGGGTGGAAGAAAAATAAAATGAACTTTTGATGTTGCTTTTTAACTTTTTCTTCTTTTTACTACCAACAGCAAGTTGAAGTAGATTGCCAACAGTGTATGCTGGAAATCCTGGACACAGCAGGAACAGTAAGGACTCCCCCCTCCCCCAAGCATATTTTAATTTGAGAGCAGGATTTTTCTCATCTGAATAGAAAGTAATCATTCTGATTTTTTTTTTTTTTTTTTTGAGAGAGGGAATTCTCTGAATGTAGGGCTTCTTAAATTTTCTTAGCTATATAAAATAATTTGTGATATACATTGCCGCAATCTGGCTGGGCACAAAATCACGAGCCACCACACAGCTTGTAGATTCAAACAGCAACTCTTTATTCCCGAACTCACACCAGCCGTCTACAATCACGTTCTGGGGAAATCCACGTTCTCTGCCCAAATTCACCCCCACTGGGCTTCTGTCTCCCAAAAAATACTGTCTGAATCCCGTGAGAACTCAAGGGGAACTCAGGCAGCAGGATACGCCCTATTCCCAGCAGGAATAACCTTAAACCTGGAACCACCCTAAACCCGGATAGTCCTAAACCCGAACCCTAAAACCGGATCCACCCTGGTCCTTGAGCAAGGTCACCTTAGATGCAATGTCACTGCAAAATGTCCTATTTCCACGAGTCCTTCCACTAAGCAACATGGGGTACGCTGGCAAGGAAATTGTCATACCTACTTGGCTAATGGCTCCCAGCAATACATAATGCCCACATACTATGATTAAATTGCATTTTGAGTTCACCTGCAGAATACGTGTTTTGACTTTCCTCTCCTTGTATTGAAGTGAGGAGTATGTTATCAGTGCTTTAAAAAAAAAAAAAAAAAGATTATTTTAAATCAAAATTTTAGTTAAGGTAGGCATTTCCCTTCCTGGCCCTACCTCCCATGCACACTAGTTAACAGATTCAATGAATCCAGCCTCCTACAACTTCTCAAATACTGTATATGTTTTCCTTCAGGCCTGTGCATTTGCTATTCCATTTGCCTAGGACACTCTTTCTTCTTATATCCGAAAGAGCTTATAAGCTTCCTCACCTTTGTGACCTTCTTCGTGTTACCTGTTAGCCCTTTCCTTTAGTACATGACCTTGCATTCCTACTCTCTAGAGAAACTCCTTGTCCCCCTCCCCAGCTTTATTTTTCTCTGTAACATTTATTACCATCTGGTGTACTTGATACTTTTAAAATTTTTATTTATTTGTTTGTTTGTATGTTTAGTCAGTCTCTGAAGACTCCTCCAGAGACTTTTGCTTCTCATTTACCAACATATTCTAGGATTGCAACAATGTCTGTCTTGTAGAGGGCTCTCTGTGGATAATTGTTTAATGAGTTAATCATCTAGACTGTCCTTAGGAAGGAGGTTAGGATTCTCAGTGGGAAGTAATACCAACCATAGCAGTTCTGTAAGGACAGAAACTTATTTATGTGTTTACTCTTTTGATTAATAAGTAACAGAGACCATGATCTAAAGAGAATATGGTAGGGATAGTAATGCTAGAAATTATAACAAAGTATTAATGAAAATCCAGGAAAAAACTTTTTACATCTTTCCCAGAAGATGCACTGATGGCAGTGTAGGAAGTTCAGTCATAGTCCTGTGACAGCACAGACACGTGGAATAGAATTGCGTGCATCAGACTGGGTGGAACTAGAAATATTTCAGATGTAGTAGACAAAATAGCGCGTGTAATCATGGGAAACCAGCAAGCCAAGGAAGCAAAAAGCTCACAGAATCTTATAACCTAGCCTTATGTTTAATGCTTCCAGAGATAGGAAGATCCAAAATGTGCAGTAATGAAGACCCAACATATATGCATTTTTAATATTCTGCTCTATGTACCTTAATTTTTAAAGACTATCTCTTATTTAATATATATAATTAACATAAAGCAACAATTGTTACCAAAAAAGAAGTGGATTTAAAATTGAAACAAAAGTAATTTTAATTTGATGTGACTATAGCTGGGTGACTAAATGTTACCAACTAATGAATCTAACTGAAGGAGATAATCACTATTGTCATCTCTTTTCAAAAGGTTTGAAATGAGGAGGGTAATAAAAATACATAAATGACTCTTATAAAAAGAGTAGGACTGGGGAGTGTAGCTTAGGAGTAGAGTATTGCCCTGAGTTTTAGCTCTAGTACCACCAAAAACAGATAAAAGTGATAAAATTTGTCACTAGAGATATTGAGACTATGCTGGATGACTAAGTTATAGTTTAGTAGTCTATTTGTGCCTCAGATTTTTTTCTACTTGAGTAGCAGTTTTACTATAAATTTTCCAAACAGTAAACTCAATAGGATTTGCATATGCAAAAAAGAATTTCTTTTTCCTAAAAAGCAGATGGAGGTAGTTTAGAATTCCTTCTACTTGGGAGGGAGAGATAGGAGGATTGCAAGTTCAGGGCCAGTCTGGACAGCATGTTTAGAACCCATCTCAAAAAAAAAAAAAAAAAAAAGACTTCTAATTCTATAGTTTGTTGTCATTGTTTCTAGTCCCTAAGTAGGGAGCAGGAGCATTTACCTCAGAATTGCTAGAAATATGTATTATGTTTTCTGTCATGAAAGCATGTTATTAAAAATGTGCAAGCTCACTTGTGATTGTTCTGTTTGAATATTCCAGTTTACAATAAAAAATTATATATTTATAATTGGATTTTTTTTAATTATAGGAGCAGTTTACAGCGATGAGGGATTTATATATGAAGAATGGCCAAGGATTCGCACTAGTATATTCTATTACAGCTCAGTCCACATTTAATGACTTACAGGACTTGAGGGAACAGATTTTACGGGTTAAGGATACAGAAGATGTAAGTATTTTTCTTTTATATGCTGCCATCTCTCTGTGGCCAAATAAGGTGTCTGATTTCTCATCAGTAGCTGATTTGGAAGGAATCTACCACATGCCAAAAAGAGTCCCTATGACCAAAATAAATTTTAACTTTCCAAATTAACCTACAAATAATATGCTGAGATGTTTAAAAAATGAGGATAAAGAACTTGTACTGTGTGGAATAAAAAGTATAGTGGAGGAAGAAGAGAAGTCAAAAGTAATTCATAGAGTGGGTCTCAAGTTGAGCTTTATTATGTCAAAAATAGGGTTCAAGAAACATGTTTCTAATTCTAAAATTCTGTTTGTATAGTTTTTATTTACATGCACTTTTCCCTTTGAATTATGTTAAAGATTTTAATTAACTGGATTTCAGAAGTTTTTAGTTTTGCTTTAGAAATCAAGGATAGCATTTTGTTGGTGGTGTGTATCTTTTTTTCTTTTGCAAAAGTAAAATATATATTTTACTTGTTTACTATTGTTATGAGATAAAGAGAATTTGTTTTCAGTAGTATAAATTAGGGTATAAATTTTCAGTTGTACCTTTCTGTCTCTGTGTCTTCTCTAATTATCAGAGAAAACAGAACCTTAACCTTGGTAATGTTATATGTGGGAGGGATTTACACCATATGTCTCGTGACCACTCATAACCTAATGAATAGTTTTTTTCTTTCCCATGACTGATTTATCTAAGAGAGTTTTGTTTTCATAGGCAATGAGCTCTGGTAATGTTAATCCCTTTACCCCATGTAATAAAAGAAAAAAGATGGAGCTGTAGAGCCTAGTGCATTTAGTCTGACTGTTGACAATTACCTATTTTAAGTAGAAGGTCCACTGTGTCTCTTAAATTCTTTCTTTTGTATAGTGTCCATCAACTCACAAAGACTATTCTTTGAACACCTTCACTGAGGAAGTTAACAGCATGTTAGTTACTTTTTTACTGGAAGTAGGAAGTTGTGGGTAGATATAGCCTAGCATCATCTATGATATGGAGGAAAATGGAAAACATAATTGCTTTGTGGCTTTATTTTCATTGTTAATACACCACTATAATATAGCACTTGAATAATCTTCAAATCTAGATGTCAAATGTAGAAGTAGAAGCTATTACTATGTTGGTCTTGTCACTACTTTTAGCATTTATTAGACCTGTTTGATGAAGCATTTAAGTTACATAGACCTAGTGCATACATTCTTCTCTAGTGCAGAAGGTTCCTTTTCCTTCAGACTTTTCTACTTCAAATTCAGCTATATACAGTAGTCCCCATGAGAATTTTGGGATGTATTCTTAAAGTAACTTAACATGAATCTAATAGGATCTCTTCCATTTTTTTTTATCTTTTCCCTCTCATTCTATTTTCTGCTCCTCCACCCAAACATACAAAGATACTGTATAGTACCATTTTTTAAGAAATTGGTGAAGTTCTAACACATTTCATTTGATGGCAATTGCTTATTTATAAAGAGGCTAAGTAATGAGTATGTTGTTGCTCATTTCTTTTTTCCTTCGTACAGGTTCCAATGATTTTGGTTGGCAATAAATGTGACCTGGAAGATGAGCGAGTAGTTGGCAAAGAACAGGGCCAGAATTTAGCAAGACAGTGGTGTAACTGTGCCTTTTTAGAATCTTCTGCAAAGTCAAAGATCAACGTTAATGAGGTAACTACAACTACTGGACAGTACAAACATATGCCTTTCTAGTTTTCTTTAACAACCATCTTTTTTTTTTTTTTAAGAAAAAATTTTGGAGCAATATTGATTGCATCACTTTATAGAAAATACTAAGTAATTCCTAGCAACTATATTTCTTAGATTGCATAAGGTCACTTTGATAGCAGTAATGAGGATACTTAAATTTATCTTATTGTCAAAAAGGCTGTTAAAATTAAAGAATATGTATGAGGATCTGTTAAGCCTTTAAATAATATGTCAGAAAGTGGTGTGTGAAAATTGTCACAATACCCTTATGTTGTAACAATTATCTATCCAGATGCATGTAAATAGACTGTAAAGTCAAGTAGGATAGTACAGAATCAAAGTTGTTATAATGAACCTTCACTACCACAGAATTTGATGCTTTGCCTTTAGTGCATGCAGAAAAGTGGGGAATCTATGAGGATAGATGTGTCACTAGAATTTACTGTCCTTTATGCCTGATACAGCACGTGCACAAGGCTCTTTTTGGTTCCTGAATTAAGGACTCTGCTTTCTTGAATATAACTGGGCTAGAGTGCTTTAGCAAGTAAGCTATGTGCCTGGGTGCCTGGCTCTTTATAAAGGACCAACTTTACTGATTCCCTGAGAAAATCAGTACAATTCTCAACTAATCTCCACTAATCAAACAAAAACTTAAGTAATTCCATTTGCTTTTCTTAACTTTACCACAAACATTTTTAAAACAGCAACAACAGAGGGTCCTCCTTTCCTTTCCTTTCTTGTTTGCTTGCCATTTGTAGCATCACAGTTAGTCAGAATTCAGATCACTTAAAACACAGACTAACAATAAGAGAACGTGCCAGGCAAGGTGGCATATGCCTGTAATCCCAGTGACTTGGGAGGCTGAGACAGGAGGATTTAGTTCAATGCCAGCCTCAGCCAACTAAGCAAGGCACCAAGCAACTCAGTGAGACCCTGTTTCTAAATGAAATACAAAATAGTACAAAATAGGACTGGGGATGTGGCTCAGTGGTTGAGTGCCCCTGAGTTCAACTCCTGGTAACAAAACAAAACAAAAGAATAAGAGAAGGTATTATCTGAGTTCTGTGTTTTTGCTTGCTGTGTCTCTCTCTGGTCTGTGATTCTTGAGGTCACTTTTTTTTTTTTTTTTTTTTTTACTAATATTATACTTCTAGACTATTATCTGACTTTCAAAGCAACAAAATTACTTTAAATACCTGGCAGGGAAAAAAATTTCAACATACTCACTTACTCCTGTTTCTTAAAATAATTAAGAATGCCAGCTGGGTGTGGTGGTACATACCTGTAATCCCAGTGACTTGGAAGGCTAAGTAGGAGAATCACAGATTCAAGGCCAGTCTTGACAATTTAATGAGACCATGTCTAAAATAAAAAGGGTTGGGGATATTGCTTAGTAGCAGAGAACCCCAGGTCTAATCCCAGTACTGAAAAAGAAGAAGAAAAGGCAAGCTTGCTTTTTTAGATGAAACATTTTTTTTTTTTTTTTTTTTTTTTTTTGAGACAGGGTCTCACTAATTTGCCCAGGTTGGCCTTAAATTTGCAATCCTCCTGCCTCAGCCTCCTGAGTCACTGGGATTATAGGCATCTGCTACTACACCTTGCAGGTGAAACCATTTTTAATGAGTATGAAAACAAGAAAGTTTTAAGTTCCATTTATTCAGCAAATATTTATTGAATACCTACTGTGTTCTTGGCACTACAGTAGGCACCTAGGTAATAGTCATCCAGACTGACACTATTCCCACCCTTAAGAAGTTTACCTCCTAGTAAGGGGAACAAGTCCTGCTGAGTTCTTCAATGACAGATGTTTCTTACTCACTGCCAAGTAAATGAAAGGAAATTTGATAATATATCCAGCTTTAACTTTCTGTACTGTAGAATTATAATTTCCTAAAGGTTATTTTGAAAAATGTAGTATGATAAAATTCTAACTTTTATTGCAATTTTATGTAAAAGAAAGAAAAAGTAACTTTGATAAATAACACATTAAGACTGGTAAATTTACTTGGTTAGTGAAACAGTGGTATAAGGTCAACTTTTGTAGGATTGTTGGTTTAAGGATCCATTCCTTACTGTCCCTGACCTTACCCTCACTGGTTCCCACCCCCAACTTCATTGAGTTCTGGTGCTTAGTTGGGCCAGGGTCCAGCACACAGGGCCTCTTCCAGTGAGAGCCACAGTACAGCGGGGAACTGTTCCTCATCTTTTGTCATTGCATGCAGTTTCAATGTAGCAAACTAGTTTTTCACAGCAGTCTTGTTAAAGTCAACCCTTGAAGTAAAGGTTTATAAAACAAAGGTCAAAAAACAATAAAACAAAATAAAAGGCACTAGCCATTTTATAAGAATTTTTACTTTTTAAATTTAAACTTTATGCTAGAAATTCTTGTGAGTATAATTTGGGATCTCTCTCTCTCTCTCTCTCTCTCTCTCTCTCTCATTTCTCTCTTCATATCCTAATAATCCAGCAACAGGATTCCTTTGATAGTTCATAGTTTCTCAGATGGCTTAAGCTGTCTTATAAATGTTTGTATGATTCCAAATGCCTGAAGATAGAAGGATAATACTTTCATAAGATTCAACTCTTGGCCTTAACTAGAGAAGGACATACTGCTTGGCTAAGCTCTCTAATTTTCTGATTTTTTTAAACTCTTTTCCACACCACTTTTTGTGTTCTAAATGTAGTATGTAGCTATTCCCGAACCACATCAATCCTAATCAAGAATTAATTGTTCTTTGCTGAAGCTGGAGTAATAATTGGAATCAAGACGTCCCAATTTAGGAATGGGAGAGGGATTGAGAAACTTTATTCTGTGTTCCCTTTAGATTTAGTTCAGAGAGATGAGGAAGAACCTAGGCTGGGGACTTTCAGCATTTCTAACCAAATATTATAGTTCGAACTTGTCCTCATCACTGAACCATCTGCTGCTGTGAGGTAGGCAATGTTTTCCAAAGAAATAACTTAAAATAATACTACAAAAATTAGTTACCTTTGTGTATAATATGTGCCAGAGTCTGGAAACTGACTGGCATGAAGAAACTGAAATAGAAACTACACATATGTTTAATGACTTAATGTTGTGGTTTACCATTTTATTATTTTTCATATTATAGTTTACACTTGAGCCTCAGGAACTAATGAGAGCTCATTCATGGCTTATGCATGTTAAGTTCTTGAAGACTTCGGAGTTGAAAACAGCTTGAATTTTGGAGTTGTAAAATCAACTACCATTTTATTCATCAATTCTGTGTTTTTCTTAGAAATAAAATAATAGTTAAGTGGTTTCAAGAAGATGGGAGTGGGGAGGATGGGGCAGAAAGAAAAGAATATAAATTATTTACAGCTTTGGAATATATCACTCCATATTTTTTGCCTTTTTAACAATGTAATATTTTGACCATTTAAAAAAGTAAATAGATGATTGTTTATCATCTAAAAGAAATGTGACTACTTACTATCTTAAATACAGGTCAATAATTTTAAACTATTTTAAAATGTACTCAAAAGACTTAAGAATAATAAATTTCTGTGTACTTTTTATTCAGATTCTTCAGTTATTAACATTTTGCCACAGGTTTGTAAAAATAGTATTCATTTATTCCTAAATATTTTAATATGTATATCCTTGAATCAAAGACATTCTCTTACATAGCCACAACAAAACTATTAAAATCAAGAAAGTTGGACTGGGGTGTAACTTCATAGTAGAACACTTAACAACATACGTGTTCAAGATCATCCTAGGGTCAATCCCCAGCACCACAAAAGAAATAAAGAAAAATAATATCAGGAAAATTGATAATAACATAATTCGTGTTTGGTGTATATCCAGATTTTGCCAGTTGTCCCTGTGTTGCTCCTTGAAGCCAGTTTGTTTGGGAGTTTTGTTATTGTTGTATTGGGGATTGAATCCAGGACTTTACACAATACTATTCAAGTGCTGTTCCACAGAGTTATACCCCAAGAACTTTTTATATTATTTTTATTTTTGGAGGGGGGAGGATACCAGGAATTGAACTCAGGGTGCTCAACCACTGAGCCACATCCCCAGCCCTGTTTTGTATTTTATTTAGAGACAGGGTCTCTCTGAGTTGTTTGGCGCCTGCCTCGCCATTGCTGCCTGTCCCAGCTGCTGCTGGAATTACAGGCATGTGCCACTGCGCCTGGCATGAGAACTTTTTGAGACAGGGTGTCACTAAATTACTCACGCTGACCTTGCCATTCTCCTGCCTCAGCTTTCTCAGTAATTGGGATTACAGGCATGTGCCACCATGCCCAGCTAGGCAGGTTTTGTTTTTGTTTTGGGTTTTTTGTTTTTTTTTTTCCTTTTTAGGCAGTATATATATATATATATATATATATATATATATATATATATATATATATTTTTTTATCCATCTCTGCAAAGCACTGTTTATTCCAGATAAGTAACTGTAAAGGGACTTCCATGATACTTGTTTTTATCCCAGGTCTGCATTTCATAGTGAAGTGCCAAATTCAGCTGATCTATTCCAAGTTTCAACACTTTTGTATTCTTACCACTATAAATTGTATATAATTATATCAGAATTAAAATAATCTGCTTTTGCGAAATAAGTATGGCTGTACTTTTATCTTTGATACTATGTACTTTTACTTTAACATATCATTTGTCCCTTCAAATCAAGGATCAGTGAACTTTTTCTGTTTTTTTATTTTAACCAAAATTTAGGATCACTAAAAGGGGTCAAACAGAAATAATATATCTCTATATGTGATACCTGAAGACAGATTGAATACCTCTTTTATCCTATCTCACCCAAAAATGTATAACTGAAATCTAATTGTTAGCCAATATCAGACAAACTCAAATTCAGGGGAAATTTTATGACTCTACTAGCTTTTTTTCATAAATGACAATGCCCTGAAAGGCAGCATCCAAGGAACTCTTCCTGATTTTAAAAGACTAAAAATTCAGGAAACAAAATGTAGTGTGTGATCCTGGATGAATTAATTCTATCCCTGGAGGGGAAAGTGGCTTTTTAGGACATTATTGGGATAGTTGATGAGACTGCAGTTTGTACTGTAGACAATACAAAGTAAAGTATCAATGCTTAAATATCTTGAATGTGATAACTGTAAGATACTTATGAAAGAGAGTATTCTTGTTCTTAGAAAATACACACTCAATTCATAAGGGACCTATGGAATACAGACTACTCTTATATGGTTGAGAAAAATAAGTGTGTGCATATTTAGAGAGAAAAATGGTAAATTAAGTGGCAAAATGTTACTGATTGGTGGATCAGTACTATTCTTGCAACTTTTCTCTTAATTTTAAAGTTTTTACTACCAGTTCTTAATATTGAATGTCTGAGAGCAATAAATAGGTAAGTCCTGCTTTACCCTAACTGAGGGTCAGCTGGGGCTTCTAAGAAACTCAACTTCAAAACAAAGCAGCAAAATACAGATCTAAGAGCATAATATTTAACAGAACCAAAATTGCTTTGTGGGATGAAGTCTCAAATATTGGTTAAGTACTTTTTCCTTCTTTTTAGATATTTTATGACCTGGTCAGACAGATAAATAGAAAAACACCAGTGGAAAAGAAGAAGCCTAAAAAGAAATCATGCCTGCTGCTCTAGACCCAAAGTCAGCAGCAGCTCTGAGCCAGGTAAGATGCTAAAAGTAAAACAAATGCCTTTCTCATCATTTCCTTTTGGAATTTTTCCAACTTGACCCACTTTTTTTTTTTTTTTTTTTAACCTATTCTGGGTATTTCTGAGCTTCTGTGCCTTGTACATGTGATATACCCTTGAAGACACATTCATCTGTTGGATTATTTAGCTTCTGCATGAAATTCTAAGCTGTGAGAGGGTGATGAGCAGGTCTGATTTGCTCACCAATGTGTTTCTAGCACCTGCTGCAGGATGGGTATTAATCACATGCATGCCTGTAATCCCAGCAACTCAAGAGGCTCAGGGAAGAGGATTGCATGTTCAAGGCCAGCCTCAGCAATTTAGTGAGACCCTGTTTCAAAACAAAAGATAAAAAGGGCCAAGGATGTAGCTCAGTGGTAAAGCACCCCTGGGTTCAATCCCCAGTACCAATTTAAAAAAAAAAAAAAAATCTTAATGTATAATAGGTATTCAAAAAATAGGGCTTGGGGCTGGGGATGTAGCTCAAGAGTAGAATACTTGCCTAGCATGTCTGAGGCCCTGGATTCAATCCCCAGCCCTGCAAAAAAAAAAAAAAAATAGGACTTGAATACTTTCCTGGATGATTCCCAAACTCATGCTGAATTAAAGTGAAATAGTGATTACTCTGAAAGAAAAAGACAAAAGTGCATGACTGATCAGTTTATCTCAGACACACCCATATATATCAGTAGTGATCACTTTCCCTAAATGTATTCCTGCCCTGATTTCTAACATCATGGATTAGTTTTGCCCCTCTTTGAACTTTACATAAACAAAAACATATAACATTATTTTATTTTTGACTATTTTCATGAGAATTACCCATGTTGCATGTAGCAATAGTTCATTTTTATTGTGTTATACTATATTTTATTGTATGACTAAGTTAGTAATATATTTATATATTCTGCTGTTGACAGACGTTAGGGCATTTTTCAGGAATCAGCATGGATAATTCTGCCTGCATATTCTTGTACGTTTTTTGTGACATATGCATGCATTTCTGTCCATGTGTATGTCTAGGAATGGAGTGGCCCGATCATATGCTATATACGTTGACAACTTTAGGAGATTCTGCTAAAAAAGTTTTTCAAAGTGGTTTTACCAGTTCACACACCCTCAGCAGTTTATGAGTTCTACATCCTCCCCAAAGTTGGTGTTACCAGCCTTTGTAACTTGAGCCATTCTCGTGGATGTGTAGTAGTACATTATTATAGTTTTGGTAGTCATTCCCTCTCAGGTGTTTGTTGATATCTTTCTCCTTTTTTTATTTTTTAGTTTTTGGTGGACACAACATCTTTATTTTATTTTTATGTGGTGCTGAGGATCAAACCCAGCGCCCGCGCATTCCAGGCAAGCGCGCTACCGTTTGAGCCACATCCCCAGCCCCATGTTGATATCTTTCCAAAAAAATGTTTTACCTATAAGCTTCTGAGTAGTAGTTAACTTTAAGTATCATGTAAGTTTTGGGGCACAGGGAATTAGACCCAGAGGCACTCTATTTCTGAGCAACATCCTGGCCTGAAATTTGTGATCCTCCTGCTTCAGCCTTCTGAGTTGCTAGGATTACAGGCATGTGCCACCATAGCTGGCTACCACTTAAGTTTTTGTTAAGTGGACCCAGTGGAAATTAGTGACAGTATTTAATAAAGCTGCCTATCAAATGAGAAACCAGGCTATATAGGATCAATTATTATCATTTAAAAATTATGTATTCAAATTCTCTAAGGTTTTTGGCTTTGGGCCAAATGGTTGTTTTAGGCTTTTAGTGAAATTTGATTTAATAATTTTACTTCATCAGTTCCCTGGAAGTTGTTATTGTTAAGATTACTGTCTTTTGTGTGTATTCAGGGAAGGGTGCAAAGATAAGGACTTTAGTTCTTAAACACATTGTTTCACTCCTTTGTAGTTGACACCATTACCTAGGTTGATCCTAGTTTAAGTTTCCATTTAAGAAGATGTTCTTTTAGTTTGTTTAAAGGAAAAGATGTCATCCTTTAGTATATTATAACTTTAAAAATTCATTCATAGGGCTGGGGATGTGGCTCAAGCGGTAGGGCGCTCGCCTGGCATGCGTGCGGCCCGGGTTCAATCCTCAGCACCACATACAAAGATGTTAATGTCCGCCAATAACTAAAAAAAAATAAACATTAAAAAAATTCATTCTCTCTCTCTCTCTCTCTCTCTCTCTCTCTCTCTCTCTCTCTCTCCTCCCTCTTAAAAAAAAAAATCATTCATGTACAGTATGACAGTGTATTATAAATTTTACCTTAGAGGAAAGAAATCTTGGCCTAGATCTAGAAATAAGGTTTTCATCCAAGTTACATCAATTCTTAGACTATGTACATAATTTATCTTATAATATGGATGTTTGATAATACCAAATAGGTGGCTTAGTAGTCAGACTACTCTGCAGTGCATTTTGTTGTGATCATTATGCATGCTGTTCCTGTACTTTTAAAAGAATTGAAGCCAGGGGTAGTGTGCACACTGGAGTCCCAGTCTCAGGAGGCTGAGGCAGAAGGATTGCTTGAACCCAAGAGTTAGAGGTTATCCTGAGCAGTATAGCAAGATCCTATCTCAAAAGTACTGAGACACAGGATAGATTTAAATAACAATTTTGAACATTTTTAATACAGAGTATATGAATCTTGAGGGCAGCTTATGTAGTCTGTAGCCTCTAGACAGAATCATAATAAAGCATGTTAATGTTTTTTTTTATACGTCCCATTTTTTAAGACCTCTGAGAGAAATTAGTCATAAGGAGTTCTTCTTTTAAAGTAATTTCCTTCTGGTAAGCAATAATACTTTCTGATTCTTCTACTCTTGAATTTGGGTTTTTTCTGTATCATCTCTTGCCTTGCCTTTATTAGAAGTGGTCATCCTAATGTATATAAGTGTAAACTAATAGAATAAATTTCTCATGGAAAGTTCATGCAGGCAAGTGTCATTTTCTTAGTGGAAAGGGAAATTTTAAAAATAAGATGAAAGTGGGATAGAAAGGAAAGGTCACTATTATCCTCTTTATGAACAGGACTATAGGATACAACAAGTATAATGAAACCAAGGAAAGGCTAAAATTGATCAATTATAGACTCCCTTTCTTGAGTTTAGTCTTTTATATTTCATTATTTTAAAAAACTTTTTTTCCTTTCTACATTTTTTATTGGTGCATTATAGTTGTACATAATGGAGATTTCTTGTTACATATTTGTACGTGCACACAATATAACAATATAATTTGGCCAGTATCACTCACCAGCATTAAAACATTTTAAAAATAAATTCAAAATAGCTCTGTTATATTATTACTAGTTGTCTAGTAATAATCAGCCAGGATCATTGTATCTTTGTGTGCATGCATGCACATGTATGCTGGGGATCAAACGCAGGGTCTTATGCATCACTAGGCATGTATTCTGTCATTGAGCTACATCCCCAGGCTAAGATCATGGTTTTCTATGTTATTGGATATCTACTTGATTACTACTATATTTTGACATCTAGAGATAACCATATGTATGTGTATGTGTTTAATATTCTAGATTACAGGAATGAAGAACTGTTGCCTACTTGGAAAGTGCCAGCATTCCAGACTTCAAAAAATAAATCTGAAGAGGCTTCTCCTGTTTTATATATTATGTGAAGAATTTAGATCTTATGTTGGTTTGCACAAGTTCCCTGAAGAAAAAAAAAAAATTGCTCTGTGTATATCTCTTGGAAAATAAGACAATAGCATTTCTCCTTTGCAATAGCAGTTATAACAGATGTGAAAATAAATATACTTGACTCTAATACAATTATACAAAAGAGCATGGATGCATTTCAAATGTTAGATATTGCTACTATAATCAAATGATTTCATATTGACCTTTTTATCATGATTCCTCCCTGTTAAGCACTAAAAGTTGAATCATTATACTTTATATCTGTAATGATATAATCAATTATGAAATTTCCCCTCAAACTCATTGCAGCAGATAACTTTTTTGAGTCATTGACTTCATTTTATATTTAAAAAATTATGAGATATCATCTGTCATTATATTCTAATTAAAATTGTTCGTGCATAATGCTTTGGAAAAAATGGGTCTTTTATAGGAAAAACTGGGATAACTGATTTCTATAGCTTTCAAAGCTAAAATATATAATATACTAAACCAACTCTAATATGGCTTCTTGTGTTTTACTGTCAGATTAAATTACAGCTTTTATGGATGATTAAATTTTAGTACATTTTCATTTGGTTTGTGTGTTTTTGTTATTGTTTATAGATTTAAGGACTTTATTTTATAATGACCACATTGTTTTAAATGCGACAGTAGCTCCTTTCTGCCTGGTATCTGCAGAATTCTTGGCTTTAAACTATACTAACTGGTGATTTCTGTAGGAACAGACCTCCTACTTCCTGTTCCAGATAATATTTATTCCTACTATACAGTATAATACATCAGACTACATAGAATAGTTTTGTATATTCTCTCTTGATCTTAAACATTGTATCTTGCTGAATAAAATATCCCACTGTGTATTATTTTTATATGTAAAGAGATAAGTTTAATACTGTATCAGGGTTTAACTTTTACTATTTCAAATCTTCCACAGCTTGTAATTTTATTAAGGATATCCTTTTTGCCATTGTTAATTTGTTGGGTGTGGGTCCACCAATGAAGTGTTATGTAAAAGCTTTCAAACTTGCTTTATAATAGATTAAAGATTTTGAGAGAAGTAAGTGAAAGTTAAAACACATAAAAAGAATGTGTTAATTACTTTTGCTTTGACTATATATGAAGTAGTATAGTAGTAGTAATATGAAAAAGATTACTAAGTTAAAATTTTAGCTGGCTATATAGTGGTGCTTTTCTTTTTCTTCCCAATTATTTCCATTTTTAGAAAAGATGGGGCTTAAGTAGGGCATGGACCCAGGGTGATGTTGCTTATGTGTTCTCCATAAAGAAAGAAAGAAAGCCAACAGCTTGTTAGCCAGTGAAGTACTGGAGAAGGAAAGAAACAAGCTTAGGAAGCCTGTGCCTTGTCCCTGAATATCAAGGAGGAGATCAGTCCTAGAAAGTCTAAATCATTGCTCAGGGATCTAGATACTGTCTCATTGCAACTAGGTGTGAAACAATGTTCATGCCTTGCTGTGATTTTTTTTTCCAGGAGTGTGGTCAGCCCATTAGTTACTGAATTGACATTTAAAAGTCAGCTTTCAAATGTAAGTTCTTTCCAGCCTGAGAAAATGTTAAAAATATTGTTTTTAAAAATTGGAAATTGTATTTTTTTGAGTTTCTAATAAACTTAGTTGCCTAATAACACTTCCCTCTTCTGATCCAATTATGCATATGTCCGTGATTGAGGGGCAAAAAAATATATAATAAATTTTAAAAATCAGTGAAACATTAGGGCCAATTTGTTCAGGTCAGTGAGGTTTGTTTTGTTTTTGTTTTTTGTTTTTGAAATGTGGTTTCACTATGTTGCCCATACTGGCTTCAAACTCCTGGACTCAAGTGATTCTACCACCTCAGCCTCCCAAATAGCTGGGACCGCAGATGAGCGTGTTCCCAGCTTAGAGACATACTCTTAATTTAAGTCCTCTTAAGTTCTACTTTAAACACTTCTCAAACATTTTCATAGAAAAACATGCAAACCAGAGAACTTTCTATGTTACATAGGTTGTATAATTATTTGTTACATTAAATACAAATTATTAAATAAGACTTAAGTTTCAGTCGGCTTGACAAGTAGCATAAACTCACTGTCCTCTCCTTTAGAATAATAGAGGAGAAAGATGATTGTTGTTGGATTCTCTGTCACATCTTACACAGTCTACTTGGTTTAAAGGTGGAACTACCAAGAAAAGGTGCTTTTTTAAAGCACACTGGTGAGCAGAGCAAGACCAGCTGAAATCAAGAGACACCGCAGTGTTAATCTCAAGAAAATCTGTGGTTGCCGAGCAAGCCAGAAAGGCATCCTGGGAGAAAATGAGAAGGGTGTGTTTTTGTATTGTCCCTATGTGAACTCCTTAGTCTTGGTTCCAGTGGAAAGATGTATTTTTGTAGCTGAAAAATCAAGAGACTAGGATATTACACAAGTCTCCTGTGATAAATATCCAGGAACTGAAAGAACCCATATTAGTATTTGAGGCTATTTAAAGTATAATAGCTTTGGTTATATGAGTAACATATAATTTAAAGAAGGTTTGATGCCACATTTAATAGTTTTCTTTTTCCAACTAAAAACAAACCACTTTAATGGCTTATTAGTGCTCCCAGTCTAGGTTTAGAAATTAAGTGAATACATAATCTAACTATAATCTTTCCCTCCACCAGGGGGAGCTTCAGTATCGGTAACACTGCTACAAGCCTTGCAAGTATTCAAGCCATCTCTTCTACACACACTGCATTCCTCACAGAGTCATCTAGGCTCCCTCAAGAGTTTACAATCTGGTTGGGCAGGAAAGATACACAAATCAAATTCATCCAAGATATGTATAACAATAACTTACTGAATTTGAGTCCCCCTTTCAAGAATGGAGAAATGCAGGGCTGGGGATATAGCTCAGTTGGTAGAGTGCTTCTTCCCTCGTGAGCATAAAGGCCTTGGTTCAATCCCTAGCACCACAAAAAAAAAAAAAAAAAAAAAAACAGAATGGAGAAATGCAGGTGTTGATGTGTTGCCCGCTTCTTCCTCAACTCTGAACTCATATCTGTTTGTACCTTGATCTGCCACCACCAATGGTCATCTTTCACTCCTCACTGAAACAGTCAATTCTTTGAAGTTAATGTACTTGGAAAACTTAATATTTAGGGGAAATATTTTTATTTTATTACAGAATTTATTAAAACAGGTGACTTGGTGTGTAGTTATTCTTTACATATGAATAATAATAAAAACATTCTGCATTTTGTACCTAGCTAATTTAAGATATTTTGCGTCTTTCTCCTCACAGGGGTGTGGTTTGGGGCGGGGTGAGAGAGAGAGAAAGCGAGTGAGCAAGCATATGCCTGAGTTTTAGGGACTAAGGGACAGAAAGAATTAAGGAATACCATGGTATTTTCCTTTCTAAGCAATCCTAATAAACTGTTAGAAGCTTTTATAAATCGTATGTCTTTTGAAACCAAAGTGCAAAGAAATTGTCAGGTAATGTGGAGGAGGAAAATAATTTATGAAACAACCTTCTCTTTGGGTCTTATACTTATTTAGGTTCTAAATATGTGTTAAAATAGCTCCACTTGAATTAGCTCCAAATTTAAAAGGGTAGAGTGGTTTGGGTGCTTTTTCAAAATATGGAAAGAGCCCATCTTACAGTGAGAGAAATGATTGTGAGTCTTGAGGCTGCCTAAACCACATAGCTATTAGCATGTGTAATCTCCAGAAGTATGAATATTAAAGCTGGGCTTCGTAGCATTGTCCTGTAATTCCAGCTACTCAAGAGGCTGAGACAGGAGAATCTCAAGTTTGAGGCCAGCCTCAGCACCTTATTGAGACCGTGCCTCAAAACAAAAAATTGAAAGAGCTGGGATGTGACTTAATGGTAGAATATTTGCCCAGAATGGTGAGACCCTGGATCCATCCCCTGTACTGCAAAAGAAAAAAGTCAAAATTGAAAGTTACTCCTGAAAATGTAGTACAGATATTACATTGATCATGGGTTTTTCTTACTGCAGTTTTATCTTGGGTTAGTTGAATGTGTAGTCCATTTATTGCCTTGTCCTTCTTAAATATTCTAATTGAGAGCAGTGGGAGGCTTTGGACTGGGTGCCTAGTTCTGTTTTCTAGGAAGGGAACATGGATTTTGCATTTTGAAATAAATAGCTTTAAAAGGGAATTGATGGGGAGCATATTCTTTGGGCTTGTTAAGAAGTGGCCTCCTGTGGTTCTGGGCCCAAGTTGTGATGTACATTTCCCACTAATTGCTTCTCTTAAGAAGCAAGAGGCTGCTTTGCGTCTTTCTCCTCACAGGGGTGTGGTTTGGGGCGGGGTGAGAGAGAGAGAAAGCGAGTGAGCAAGCATATGCCTGAGTTTTAGGGACTAAGGGACAGAAAGAATTAAGGAATACCATGGTATTTTCCTTTCTAAGCAATCCTAATAAACTGTTAGAAGCTTTTATAAATCGTATGTCTTTTGAAACCAAAGTGCAAAGAAATTGTCAGGTAATGTGGAGGAGGAAAATAATTTATGAAACAACCTTCTCTTTGGGTCTTATACTTATTTAGGTTCTAAATATGTGTTAAAATAGCTCCACTTGAATTAGCTCCAAATTTAAAAGGGTAGAGTGGTTTGGGTGCTTTCCTCTTGAGGAAAATCCTTAATAAACCTTTCCATTTTAAACAGTGCTGTGACTCTTTTGAACTATTGTTTTCAAAGAATTTTTTTTTAAGCTTAACCCTTTCCAAATTTTGTGCTAAATGTCATAGGGCCCACACAGCAAAACAGGGCATGACTTACGGGCCTATCAGCAAACATTTATTGTGCTTCTACTGTATACCATGTGCAGTCTATGCTTGGGCTACAATGGGCGGACCATACAGACAAAATCTTTTAAAAAATTGTAAAATGTGTGTGTGTGTGTGTGTGTGTACACGCACACATACACTTAGTAAGAGAGCTCTTTTCCTTAATCCACCCCTGTTGGGTAGGTGCAAACTTTCCCACCAGATCCCATCAGGCCATCCCCTGGGGGTGAGAGAAAGGGCACAGGCCATACTTAATCATGTAGTCCCCTGTCATTCTAGCCGTAGGCGTCACTGAGGTCTTTCTCCACTTTGGTGGATTGGGAATTTGAAGGAGCCACCAGGATTAAGGGAATGCAAAGCATGTAGTCTTCCCAGTTTGAAAAGTAGGAACTAGAATAGTGGGACCAGAGCCTAGCCCCTGCCTGTCTTCCATGGGCAGGGGATACATTTAATGGAAAAGTTTAAAGATGATATTGAATCCCTTCACTCCCACCAGGGTCCTGAAGCCTATGCCATAAGCTTTGGGGTCCTTCAGGCCCTTGGAAACACTGATGCAAAGCTAACCCCTTATTTTCTGGTACATAAATGTATTTATTTTTAAAAAATCTTTATTTTTTAGTAGTAGATGGACAATACCTTTATTTATTTATCTTTATGTGGTGTTGAGGCTCGAACCCAGTGCTTCACACATGCTAGGCAAGAGCTCTACCACTGAGCCACAGTCCCAGCCCCCATAAATGATTGATCTGAACAGAAACTTAGAACCTCAGCCCAGGGATCCAACACCAACACCAGACACCAGTCTGGCCCCGAGCTCTCTATAATGAGCAAGCTCACTGGCCAGTGGTGGGTAAGGAAGTTGAGTGGTTCATTGAGGTGGTCTGGGATGACACTAGCCTTGACTGCTCTGCTCAGGGAGCTGAGTTGATGCAGGGGATTCAGTTGCTTACCTACCCACTTGGAATAAACTGTTACTTTAAAAAAAAAAATCTGCCTAATGTCCTTCCCTTTCCCATCATTTCTACACAAATGGCTGTACACATGCTGCCTTGCTGGCAGCTCAGCTCCTGGTTGGGAGACAATGTCTGGAGTGTGGCCAGAAGTGGGACTGGAGGTGTGGAAGGCACCAACACCCAACTCTCAACTTCCTTCCCCATTGCCCTGCCTGTCCCTCAACAGTCACAATGAGGGGAGGAGAATCTAGTAGACTCAATGTCCCTGGTAGGGTGGGGCCCTAGCCCAGCAAGTCAGAAAAGGTCTCAGGGCAGGGTAAGTCTGGGACCAGATACTGGCAGAAGAAATGAGAAAGATCAGGTCAGGAAGGCCAGTGGAAAGGGATCATCCCAAGAGAGGGGAAACATTTGAAGACAGGTAACCTCTGGGATGGCAGTTGGATCCATTTGGGACTGAGCAGGCATAGCTCTGAAGGACCCCAGCTCAGGGCAGCCCAGTGACAGCATAGCAATGGGAACAGATAGGGAGCTAAGTGGGAGGTGAGGACTGAGGCTCCCCAGATAGCCTGCGTTAAAATAGAATTGGCCTGAGAAACCAGATGAGCAGGCCAGGGGAACAGGGAAGTGCACAACAGCTTGGAGAGGGAGGCTGGGGACCAAAGTTCCCAGAGGTCACCATGTCCCAGCCTGCCCTCTCCTGGGGAATGGGCTGTGGAGTAGAATGAAAAGAGGCCTTGGGAGGCAGCTGCGGAGGCCTTGCCTGCTGGCCTTCCTGAAGCAGAAGCCAGAGGTGGGCCCGGCCTGCGTCTTGCTCTGGGAGTCGAGATCACCTTGGGAGCCCTGTGCGCAGTGCTAAAGATGCAGAAATGAGGAACGAGCAGTTGCTCCCAGCCCAGCGAGGAGAAGCAGCAAACAGAAGTGACTCACAAAGTAAATACTATGGTTTGGTCAGAGGCACAGTTTAGGCCTGTGAGGAGGGTTTCACCAATGGCCTTCAAACTATGTGGTGAAAGACAAATAAAAGTCAGCCTGAGATTGTGGGGCAATTGGATTCCTCAGGAGACAGCATGCAAAGACATAGTGACATGAGAAAATCCAAACTTGGAGCACTCAAAGCAACCTTTCTTGGCATGGGCTATGAGGAGTGTCCGGAAGCAAGGCTGAGTAGGTAGGCTGGGGGCTCACTGGGCAGGGCTGGCCTCTAACACGGGGGCAGAGTGGAAGAGAGGATGGAGTCAGATCCTGCACTCTGCATCCTTTTGGACCCTGAGCAGCACTTCCTGGCAGCTGCAGGCCATAGCCTCCTGTCGGGGAGGTGAGGAAGGGGCCGTGAGGAAGGGGCCCATAGGTCAGAGGGAGAGCAAGGCAGAGGATGAGGACAGCTTCCCTGCAAACACCCACTAGGCAGCCTTGGATTGGGGTGGACTCAGAACAGGAAGCAGCAGGTTGGGAACTAAAGAGCAGAGGTGGCAGCCCGTGGAAGATGGTATTTGGCATTGGTTTCCACATCCCTGGACAGGGGCCATGGTTTCGAGGGACATTGCCAGAAGGGTGTAGTGAGGATAGATGGCATCTGTGCAGTGGCAGCCAGGGATTGGACCCAGAACCTCATCCAGTTAGTGATGCTGTCACCTATACTCAGGCCTGAGCGAGATGCAGGGAAAGGAAAGCATAAAGTGATTGTCATTGTAATAATCCGTCATCGGGTTATTATTGCCCTAACTCTGTTCAGAGGCATGGTCCTCAGTGGCCCCAGGAACACAGGAGTGCTCTGAGCAGCATTGGGAGAGTTCAGGGAAGAAAGTGGAACTCCAGTAGGGAACACGGATTTAAGTTTATTGTGGGGACATAGGGAAGGCTGACTGCACTGTGAGGCTTGCCACACCCACGTGTTCCTGGAGTTGTGGGTGTGTATCGGGGGCTTGGAGGTGGTGAATGGAGGAACCTGTCAGGACTGATGGGAGGGAGAGTCTCTGGGGAATGGCAGGAAGTAAGTCCTGTCAAAATCAGGGAATCTGGAAGAGAGGTTTCCTCCTACTCTAAGGGTTGGACAGAGGGGGAGAGTAAGGCAAGAGACACCCTATCAGTAGTCCTAAGGGGATGACTGCGGTTTGAGGTCGTGGCCTAGGCCTTTCCAGCACATCAGAGCCTCAAGTCTCTCCTGAGGGGCAGGCTTCACAGAGGAGGGAAGAGGACTTAGGAGCACAGCCACAGCACCTACCTGGGGAGCAGAGAGCAGACAGGGGGCTGGATTCTCCTCGAAACCATTAGAACTTGACTCATTGTGCTCTCCCCCTGCCAATTGAGGTCCCAGGTTGACAATGAGGGACAGCAGGGTACAGGGGTGGTTCAGTGTCCATAGGTAAGTCAAGCCTCAGGCAGTCGTGTCCTCAAACACCTTCTCCCCAACTTGGCCCAGACAGCTGCTGCACCCCAATGCCCCATACATCATTCCTCCACAGTACAGTACCAACGTGCCACTAGCGAGTCATAGCCCACCTGGGTAATATTTCCACAATGTACAAAAACGTGTCCACACCTGGGCCTTCTCCAGTCCTTGCCACAATCCTGTGAGGCCATGAGAGACAGTAGACATTTTTTAACAAAGAGACCAAGGCTCAGAGAAGACACTTTATTTTGATTTCGCCTTGGGTCACATGCTCAGTGCTGTCCTAGGGAATGGGCAGTGCAGTATTGGTGGAGTTTCTGTGTTCCAGGCAGTGAGTGTGACCCCCAGGTGCATTGTGTCCTCTAAACCCCACCGCAGTCCTGCCTTACCCCTGTTCCATGGATAAGGGAAACAAGGCTCAGAGAAGTCAAGCAACGTGTTCAAGTGCACAGTGACAGAAACCGATCTCTCTGACTCCAAATCCAGTGCTCATACCATGGTGCTGGTACAGGTGCCTTAAATGCCTGGGTGGGGAGGTCACCTAAGGCAGATTGACAGCTGCTTTGGAGAAGCTGGAGACAGACTATGGTCTTGCTTTTTCCTTGGGCCCTGCAGGAAATGCTGGTGTGGCTTGGAAAAGACAAGGAGCCCCTTCCCCAAGCCTCTGGGGAGTAGCTGGGTGTGGTGAGGATAGATGGCTCACTACCTACGGGGGCATAAGTGAACCAGGCTTCCCTTAGTTTGGGTTCAGAGATCACCCTGAGGGGAGAGGTTCAGAGGAAGTGCCTCAGGGAGAGAGCGGTCCCATCTGAAAGATTAAAAAGGAACAGGTCCCACCAGTCCCAGCAAGGACCTTTTCGTTCCACTAAGGTTAGAAAACATGTACAGGTTCTGGCCACGGGGCCACATGAAGCAGGTGGAGCCCTGAGCAGATGCCTGGGCCAGTGGGCCCCTGTACCTGCCAGGGAAGTGGGCCAGGTGTGGGGTGGGGCTGTATGCCAGGGAGGGTATTAAATGAGCTTCCAGTTCATTTGCATGTCCTAATTAACCACAAAATGAGCCCCAGAGGCAGAATCAAGCTGTCAGTTTCTCTCTGCTGGCTTTCACCATCTCCTCTCCATCCACCCCGCCCCGGGTCCCCATGATCTCCAGCATCGCTGAGGCCCTAGGATTAGTCCCATTCATTTCTTCACTTGGCCTCAGCAAAACAGTTCTCATCATTGTCGCAGCAGGAGCCCAGAAGGTGACAGAAAAGTAAAAATTACAAGTGGGTTAATGAATCACCATAATCTTTGATTAGCAAAGCATGAAAGTGGGTGGGGCATGGCATCAAGACCCAGGCAGAATTCCTCCACCGCACAGTTGGCATGCCACTCATCATATGTGGGGAGGACAGGTTTTGTTCTTGATTTACCTCTGGAACAGTTTGGGGGTTAAGGTAAAAGGCACAAGGTTGCAAGTAAATGGGAACTGTTAGAACCCCAGCTCTGCTTTTCTGCTGTGCGATCTTGACGAGTTGTTTAACTTCTCTGAGCCTATCCGTGTAAAATAAGAGTAACAGCACTCCCTTCCAGCATGTAGTGAAAAGGAAATAGCACAAAGGCAAAGGTGCCTGGCACCTGTGAATTATGTTGGCAGCAGATGTCACTTCCTAGTTGCTTTGTTCTGGCCCAAGTTAAAATGAGTCTTCAGTCCTTTGAATCTGTTCTGGCTCATTGATGGTGGAGTTGGCCTCTTCCTTTTCCACTGGATCCCCTGGAGGTCAGCACTGGGCCCTTTGCATCATGCTGTTCTGGGTTCCTAGCTGGCACTGGGTGGAATTCATCAAGTTTTGCTCAGTTGATCTCAACTACTATGACTAGCCCATGAAAATAGAAGAGTCACAGGTGAATAGCCAAGAGGTGGCTTGGTTTCCTATGGAATCAGACCAGACTCAGAGCTGGTGTCATCCTCTCATCACCCTCTCATCAGCCCTCCTCTCAGGAATCAGCAAATCAGTGCATTGTCCCCACACATACATCAACCATCACTACCAAAGGCAGCCACAGCCAACCTCCCTTCACAGAGTAACGTCAGAGTTTATTGGGGAGACAACAGGATGCGTGGGCTCTGCCCCCCAGAAAGAGGGAACTCTGTTGGCAAACTGCAGATGAAGGTGTAGAGTGGAAAGAACAGGGGTTTGGGAGCCAAATAACCCTCTGGTTCAATTTCTGGTTCTTTTCCTTTGCTAGCAGCATGATCGGGGCAGTTTGCATGATCTCACTACGAGCCTCCATTGCTGCACCTGGAAGATCATTCTTTCTAGGGTGACTCAAAGCTTGAAAGAGATGTGCACACTGCCTGGTAAACAGCGCGGGCTCAAAACAAGTGCCTCTCTGTCCTCGTATAGCTCACCCCACCAAAACTAACCATCTACCATTTGAGTGGCACTTGAGGGTGACCTTAATCACGACTTCAGAGCCCCCTGCCTCTCCCTCCATCTCCGCCCCCTGGGGCTCCAGGCTGCTGGCAGTAGAGCCTTTCTTGTTATTTTTCTTCTCCAATTTGCTGTTAATGCTCTGAGGGCGGGAATGCGTCTTGCCTCTAATTGCAGCTGTCACACCCCATCAGGCTGAGCTGTGGGTCCTAGGGGAGAGGGAGAGGGGAAGGAGGGCTCTCCCTCCTGGGTTTGCTCGGCCCAGACAGGGACCCACGTTGTCCTCTCGCGGCCAGCGGGAGTTCCTGCCCGGATGGGAGGGCCAAGGCGCCGGCTCACCACGGGCCACTTACCCCAGCAGCTTTCAGAAAGCCCTGCACGGTGGTCTGGAACCCTCACTCTCCGGTTAACTTCACTCTAGGGTGTGAGCAGGGAGACCCAGGCCCCTGGTGGGCTGGAAGTTAAGGGGCCTCAGGTGAGACTAAGAATTTTTTAAATGAGGGGGAATTTCTCCAGGGCTCGCCCTCCCTTCTCTGGTGAATTTACCTGTTCTGCCCCAAGAGTCAAGCGCAGGAGGCTGGCTGTTGGTGTGGGCGACAGACAGCTGTTAGGGGCCAGTGTGTGAATCCAGATCACAGTGGCCTGGCTGCTCACCTCCCAGCGGTGTGTTCTGGGACGATAGGTAGCCCCCCGTGTAGGCTGCCTTCTCAACTGGAAAATGCCTGCCTGCCTGTGAGCACCAGGGACTAGAGAGCTTGATGTCAAAGGGCGTCCACAGTGGCATGTCCCCTCATTGATTCCCTGCGCTGATGGGAAGGCACACCTCATCCACTACCCTCCTTCAGCCCATATACCAGGATCCAGGTATGGGCTGAGATCCATGGAACAGGAATGCTACCTGGGATTTGCCTTCCTCTTCTCTGACCCCCAATCTCTGCTTCCAGCAATGCCAAGCCGCAGAAGCAGACAGATGTAAAATTGGGGGCACAAAAGACAGGTCTTTATTGGGGGTCTCTGTGGCACCTGTGGCCCCAGTGAGCTTTTCCACGCATAATGTTCCACTGAGGTCTTTGAGAGCAGTGGAGGAATGTCAGAGGGATTTTCTGGTCTCCTCCCCTGCTCCTCCCCAACTGTCATCTCCAACCCCTGAACTGACACCCCGACACACACACCCCCACATTCTCTCCAGGAACTCACCTCCTCCACCAGCCAGCCCTGTGACAGCCTCTCCCAGCTGCATTCTGGTCAGCTCTGCCTGAGAACTCTGGCTTCTCCCTCCTTTCTGGGGGAAAGGAACTTGGATTTGGGCTTCTGAAGGCCTTACCACCCTCCCGCCCTCCTCCCTAGGGGCCCAACATTTTAGGTTCAGCCAATTTTTGGTCTCTGGTGTTCAGACCCAAACAGCTGTGTTAATATCAAAACCCGTGGGAGAGGGATCCATGGCCTTGGGGCTACTCGTCGGGGGAGTCTCCCCTTGTCTGGACTCCCCTGTACTTGGGAAGAAGAAACGTCCAGAGCCCTTGGAATGGCTCCGCTTCTTGACCTTCTGAGAACGTCCTGCTCTCGACTCGGAGACCATGGGTGTCACCCAGCCTGGCTTCTCCTTCAGCAGCCGGTCACGGTCCGGCCTCACACTTCGCAAAAACTTCCTAAAGATGTTTGCTGTTAGGGCAAATTTGTGGCCCAGCTCCCGAGGCCGGCCTTTGTCTCCTTTGTGCTCTTCCCTCTCCGGCTCATCCTTCTCCCCGACCTTCTCCAGTTCTGGCAGGTCGAGCCAGTTGCCCACCAGGTCTGCAAACACATTGTCCCCTAACACCAGAGGCTGCCGATTTCTGCCCCTCGACATCAATGTGGAGGTCCAGTCATCTGGTTCCACTCGCTCTGGCCCCTGCTGGGCACAGCTTTGGTGCTTCGGCAGCTGTGTCCTGGGCAAGGGGGCGAGATCCCTAACGCAGATACTCCTATGGTATGGAGATTTGGTGCTGCTGCCGGGAGAAGGTTGGCTGGATGGGGAGCAGGATCCAGGTCTGGCAGGACCTCTGCCACCCTCCCAGTGAAGGTGCTTGGACTGGGTCGGGGGGCTTTCTGGGAAGCCTGGGACAGGATCCCCTCCAGAGATCTCCAATTGTTCCAATGCTGTCTGCACCTGTAGGAGTTTCAGTTCTTGCAGAGCACCCATCATGCAGTTCATCTGATCCTGTAAGCCATCACCCACCTCCTTCATGGACATCTGCAGGGGAGAGGGAAAGCACGGGGCCAGTGAGCATGGGAGAAGCAGGGAGGACTGCCCGGCACGGCCCTGAACCAGCCACCCGCCAAACACACTCTCCAGGATCATCCCAGCCTGCCACTGACCCCACCTCTACAGCCTAGAACAGTGCCAAGCCGTGCTGAAAGAGGACTTTTTTTTTTTAATATTTATTTATTTTTAGTTATCGGCGGACACAACATCTTTATTTGTATGTGGTGCTGAGGATCGAACCCGGGCCGCACGCATGCCAGGCGAGCGCTCTACCGCTTGAGCCACATCCCCAGCCTGAGGAGGACTTTTAACAGTGCTAAGGCTAGATAAGGGAACTGAGATACGTGGCAATGAAATAACTAAAGAAGCAGTTGTCCTAAAAGCTATACAGACACTCCTCCGCTTATGATGGGGTTATGACCAGATGACCCATTGTAACTTGAAAATGTAAGAAAAAAATGCATTAAGACACCTAACCTACCAAACATCACAGCTTAGCCTTGCCTACCTTAAACATATTTAGAACACTTACATCGGCCCACAGTTGGGAAAAACCATCTAACACAAAGCCTATTTTATAATAAAGTATTGAATATCATGTAATGTGCTAAACACTAAGTGACAAAGAAAAAGATTTTAAGGGCACCCTTTCACACTATGGTTAAGTTCAAAAATTGTTAAACCAAGGGCCATCTGTATGTGTGTGCTTATGCATATGAATAGATATGTGTGTGCCCCAACCTTATATCACACACACACACACACACACACATATATATATATATATATAAATTTATTTATTTAATCTCTCCAACTATCCTGTGAGGTAGTGACCATTATTGTTCCCCTCTGACAGGTGAGGAAACCAAGGCACATAAGTAACTTGCCCAAGATTAGATAGTGAGAGGTAGAGCTAAGATCACTTTAAGGGTGCACAAAGTTGTGGGAGCCATCCTTGTCCTCTTTTGTGCCTGTGTCCTCTTCTTCCTGGGTGCTGATGGTCACAATATCAATTTGTGAGCATTTACTGTGTAATTGAAGTGGCATCATCTCATTTAATCTTACTTACATGAACCCTGTGAGGTTGCTCTTATTGTTCTTGCTTTAGTGAATGAATAAACTGTAGTGCACACAGCTCACAGAGCTGGGACGCAAACCCAGAACTGTCTCACTCCAAAGGCTGTAGTCTTGACTACTAAACCCCTACAGATGGATGGGCAGTGGAGCTGGGCTTTAAGGCTGCTCTGTCCTCTGTAGGGCTATAGAGAGGAATTGATAAGGGACATTAAGATAAAGGGTAGACCCAGGTTTCTTGAATTGCTCTTCACATCCAACTGGTCAGGAGAGACGTTAAGAGGCCAGGAGATTCCTGTTTGCTGGGAACCCTGGCCCAGCTCTCCCTCCCAAACACCTGTCCTATTTCAGCTGCCCTCAGACTTGGCTCAAGTGCTCTTCCTGCCTTCTCAGCCCAATAGGCTCTGCTGCCCTGGCCAAGCCAGAATGGGGATCCTGAGTTAGTTCTTCCAGCTCTTTTGTGGATTCTTAGGCTGGAGTCCCAGGTACCATCTGGACAGGCTGAGAGATTGCCTTGGGTAAGGGCTGCATTTGAAGATTGCTGGGGAGAGGCTCCAGCTGATAACATTCACAAGATTCCCAGCCCCTGGGCCCAAGCTGCCTGGGTCCTGCCAGCTCCCTCCCCAGATCCCGATCAAGTTACAAACATCAGGCCTCTAGTAAGTTGACCATCTGTTTCTGAAGCCCCCCAGAGACCCAGGGATCATCTTACCTTCCAGTCTTGTCTTAATGCTCAGAGCTAAGCCCAGGGGGTGGGGGTGGGGGTGGAAGGGCAGGCAGAGAGGCTCTGCAGGGCTGGGCTGGGCTGGCAGCTGACCTGAGGCTTCTGGGTAGAAGCTGTTCCTGCCAACCTGGCCTTGCTGGGGAGGGAGGATCCAGCACTAAGGGAGAGTGGAGGACTGGCTTCTTCAGAGGTCAAGGAGAGTTTCGCTGGGGTGTGGGAATTGCCCACACTTTGTACACCTTCCTAAAACAGGGCTAGAAACGGTGGTTTGAGGACCCAGGGCCCCCAGGGATTTGCTTGGGTGAGGACATGCCATTTAGATGGCAGCAGCCAGAGACACAGAGCCCATGGTGTGTGCTTGCTATTAGTGGACCTTGCCCTGACCTCTTTGCTTCTACCTTCCTTTCAGAGGCACTGAGCTGCATCTGGGAAGAACCAGAGTACAGCAGGAGGAGACGCTAAGCCCCAAACTAAGCATGGTTCTTTCCTGGCAACTGCTTCTCCCTCTGACTTTCCTACCCCTCCCCACTCTCTAATCCATGTTCCTGTCACCCCTGCCTGGAACCTCAGTCATTTTTAGCTTCTCCTTTCAACCACCCTACTCCTGTCCAACTTAATCATGCACTATTTGAAGTCCTCCTCCCCCAGATGGTTCAAAGCTTCCCTTCTATGCCCTGGAAATCTGCAGAAGCCTTGGAGAAGGCCTCCCAGCCACCAGAGGACCAGGGCCTGGCCAGGTCTTCCTGACCTCCCATCACTGACTTGGTGGCTTATCATGGCCCAAAGACTCAAATCCAATTTGGTCCTGCTGTCAAGACCCACAGCAGGATTTTCAAACTCAGGCAAATCCCTGCCCCTTAAGAATACGCAGCAGGCTCCTGTGAGTGCCTCTTTGTGACCTTAAGAAGCTCTTACCTCAAGACCTGCTACTGAAGTACTGATCCTATGTCCTCCATAAGTTTAAAGGCTCAGTTGCTCATGAAATAGTTATTGAGCATCTATTGCTTGAGGGAAGACTAAGACCTACACATCGTTATGTCACCCTGGAACCTAGCTGGCTCCTTGCACTTGCTGCATACTCACAAACCGTATGTTGAGTACCACTGGCTTCCCCAGATCACCCTCCAAACTGCTTGCATCCTTCAGACAGTCAACTGCCGCTCGAGGAGAGAGAGCCGTTGCCCAAGGTTTCATTTCACCAAGCGGCAAGGAGTCTGAACTGGCAGGCTTCCTTCCAGAAGGCAAAACACAGTCCAGGTCAGAGGCAGTGGGAGGAATGAAATGACCCCATTCAGTCTCTTCCAGGGTGGAAAAATCCATAAGAAATAATGCTGACATTTTGTGCAGTTTTCCAGTGAAAACGAATGTGTGGGTATGTGGGTATGCATGAATTCAGGGCTGCCCATAAAACAGAGGCCCCATTTAAGTAAACAAGGGCTGAAATTGTGCCTGTATGGAAAATAATATTCTCTATTAGTTAAGATCTTGAGTTCTGGAGACCAAAGTAACAGGGTTCAAATCCTAGCTCTGACACATAGTAGCTGTGTCGTTTGGGCAGATTATTAAAATTCTGTTTTCAGTTTCTCCATCTTTAAAATGGGAAGGCTGGCGTTGTGGCTCAGAGGTAGAGCGCCTGCCTACCATGCATGAGGCACTGGGTTCGATCCTCAGCACTGCATGAAAATAAAAAATAAAGATATTATTATAACGAAAAATAAATATTTTTTTTAAATGGGAAGAAATTCCTGCCTTGTACAGCTATTGTGCAAATTAAATGAAGTCATGTGTATCTCTGCATGACACACATAAAGCATCAGATGAACAATGGCTGTTAAGACTTCCTGTACTTGCAGAACACTTCTTCCTCAGTGAAATTCAACACAAGGTAATGGGAGGATTCCATCCATCATATCTGGTCTCATTAAGTGGAAACAAATCTCTTGTCCTGTCCCTTCCCCTCCCAGCCCTGCCCCACGCCGGGGGAAAGGAAGGGAAGGAAAGGGAAGCCTCATTATCCTCCTGTCCACTCTTGTGCTGACCTCAGTGAGCCCGGCCACAGGCAGGGTGCAGCACGGACAGTCAAGAAGGCAGCTGTGAGAGGGATGAGAACAGAAGGAGGAAGTGAGCTGTGGGAAACAGGGAGGCCAGGGCAGTGGGAGTAGGAGCATCTGCTGGGTCTTGACCACGAGGGGAGCCAGCAGGATAGCCTTTCCCACCAACCCCAAGGGGATGATGTCACCCACAGAGGAAGAGCCAGAGGTCAAGCTGCTCTCTTCACCCAGAGCGTGGGACCTTCTTGGGTCCCAGGGCTTCTCTTGCCTCAGGATGGAAGAGGGAGAAAAGGCAGCATGTGGTGTGGGGAACGAAGGAGTGGAGCCAGCTCCGTCCGGGGACCCAGGAATGAATAGCTCTAAATCCCAACCTCTAGGCTGGAGGCTGCCGAGTTCCTCTCTGGCCTCCTAGTCTCAGTGCCTTCTATTGTTCCTCAGGACAGGGACCAGATCATACCAACGTGCTCTCAGGATCAGCTGGAGAAGTCTGATTGGTCCTGATTAGTTTGAATGGAAAGTGATCTAACAGCCACTTCTCTTAGTCTCATCCCTAGTCTCACACACACACACACACCCACACATGCAGAGAGAGAGACAGAGAGAGCACTATCCACCATCAGATGCAAAGCCCTAAATAAACAGATCCCAGTGATAATCATGGGAATCCCTTCTGAAAAATGCCCTAAAAGGTGGTCTCACCCCCACCCTTGCCTCTGCATCAATCCTCACCATTTCCCACCCCAAAATCTTCTGGGACTCAGTTTCGTCCTAAACATTTTCTGCCCATCAAACTTTAGTTTCTCTGGGAGTGGTTTACACCAGCCCCTGGCAGACTCTGTGTTAGAGCTGCATGGCTGCTGCCCCATCCTGGTTTGGTGAGAGCCCCCATTGCAGTCTGGTGATCTGTCCCTAGCTGACCACCTTCTTTGGGCAAATTCACCAAGCTTTTGTGTTTCAGTCCTGAATCTGTGAATGATAACCCCTCCCATGTGTATGGCACAGGCCCTTTTTCTCTGTATTGCCTGAGCTCCTTTGGCCAGGAGGCTGGCTAGGCAGGTGGAGGTCGCCTCCCCCCTGGATGGATTAGGAAACTAGGGAGTCTCTCAGATCATCTCCCTCAGTGTTGCCCCAATATTCTT